CTTCCTGAAACAAGGCAACTGCCTAAAGAATAGCGGGCTAAACCAATTAATTCCTCAGGTTTATAAATTACATCTTCAACGCAAGGCGTACTGTGCTATTTTCAAGCAGTAGAATATCAAAGAGCTTAGCTTCTGTAGGGCATTCACGTTATAGTTAGTCCTTGACTTACAGCAGTTCATCTAGTGATCAAAGTTACAACGGCAACAAAGATGTTTAGGGGACTGGAGGCTAAAACATATGAAGAAAGGTTGCTGGAATTGGTTATGTCTACTTTAGTAAAAGGAAGGACCAGGGGTGACATGATAGCAGTGCTCCAATATCTAACAGGCTGCCCTAATTTATTTTCCAAAGCACCTGAAGGCAGGTTAAGAAGCAATGGATGGAACCTAATCAAGGAAAGAACCAACCTAGGGGGGAAAAAGAAAAAAATCCTGACAGTGAGATCATTGGAACAACTTGCCTCCAGAAATTGTGGGTGTTCCATCAATGGAGATTTTTAAGAAGAGATAGGAAGTCATTTGTCTGGAAAGGTACGGGGTTTCCTGCTTGAGCAGGGGGTTGGACTAGAAGACCTCCAAGATCCCTTCCAACTCTGTTATTCTGTTTCAGTCCAGCCCTCAAGTATGCTTAATTTATACTGACCAGTTGGTTTATCAGCTCCTGCTACTTTCTATCTGTTTAGTAAAGCAGGAATGGAGAACCAGCCTATATGAAAACTATTTTCAGGCAAGCTTACCTCGCATTATTTAAAGTCCAAATAATGATCAAAGGACGTATGCTGAAAATATTTTAGTCAGCTTGCGATATTGGTTAAGAAACAAATACGCAGTGGAAAAATGAGCATGTTGCCTTTATTTCAAATTAGGTGTTATGAAACTTATAAACCAGTTTAGGAATTCTGTGGTTTATCCTCTCTTTTAAGTTAAGTTAATAGCACTCTCCTATCAGAATTATTTAAATTCTTATTAAGAGCTCTACCACTTTTTGATTGAAAATACTCTAGATAATTATTGTCTTAAAGTTGCAGCACTGCATTGCATCATAAGATAGATGGATGAAAACCTAAAAGCAATGCCACTAATTTTTCATTCCCTCCCCCATTTTTTAATTAAGCATTTTAGAGAAGATTCATAAAACTAGGAAAGGGAGAGAAAATAAAACACAAATAAATAGTGACTAAAGGAATAAATAAGGGATTTACAAATGTCATGGAGGCTATAGTTTTCTGATACATTAGTGAATTAGTTAATCAGTAATTGAATGTGGTATACTATATTGTTTTAAAAGACAAACATTACTATTAAGCTCTGAGCATAAAGTGAATATCAATACCAGAGTAAATCATTGAGGGAAATTACATTCTACAATAAATTTTATCTATCCACATAACTAAAAGCCTGCTCTGATTTGTAAAACCTGTAAAATTGAAGTATAGGCTTTATCAGAGAAAAATCCAAATTTTGGATGTGGTACAAATCCATGTATTAGATTGTGGTTTGAGGATGGTTGCCAATTTGAGTTGAGTTCTGTATCAGATTTAATTTTAAGGTAGGGAGATACTTTAGAGATCAACACTTATTCCCACAGCTTGGTTAGCCAGCATTCCAGGGATCAAATGATTTTCCCAGTAAAAAAAAAAATATCTTGGCAGCAATTAGCAAATACAATGCTCATGCAGTATACTTTGAGGGAATAGTCCCTCCCTCCTGTGTGAAATATTACAAGTTCAAATGGGAGTTTAACTTTTAAAATCGATACTCTATTTTATTTATTTCTATTTAGTTCAATGGGAGTTAATATAAAAGCTAAATCCTTAGCTGTTGTATAATTAGCACTGCAGCTTAAAAGCAGAGGTATGATGCGGCCATCCTAAGGCAGAGTCATTTTGGTCCATAGTCTGGCATTCTATGCCAGCTGCAGCTTTTGCAAGATCTTAAAGGATTGCCCCAAAACAAGGACACGTGCAGCTGGCAAACAAGACGGAACTGGGCAAAGGCTTACCTCGTCACAGGTGCTACCTGTGCCTTGAGTAGGAACTGTGAGTTCAGGGAGAGGGGGAAAACAGGGTACTAGCACTGCCTGGGCAAGGGCGCCCCATCCAGGGCTGATGGAAAGTCTTTGGGATCAGGGGCCCAGATACAGGTAGTCCTTAACAACTACAATGGAGCCCAAAATTTCTGTTGCTAGCAAGACAGTTAAGTGAGTCTTGCCCCATGAGCCACGGTGACACAGTGGTTAGAATGCAGCACTGCAGGCTACTTCTGCTGGCTGCTGGTCGCATGCAATTTGGCAGTTCGAGTCTCACCAGGCTCAAGGTTGACTCTGCCTTCCATCCTTCCAAGGTGGGTAAAATGAGGACCCAAATAGTTGAGGGCAATACGCTGACTCTGTGAACCACTTAGAGAGGACTATGGAAAGCACTAAAAAGCGGTATATAAGTGCTGTTGCTATTATAAGATTGTTAAATAACACAGTGATATATGCAATACTATCTTCAATTCATTAAAAAACATAAGTGGGGCCTCCTCCTGAATGTGTATTCATATGATTACATAATGAAGAAGCCAAAGAAAAAAGTGAAAAATCAACAGTGATTTGCAGGCAAGCATTGCCAGTACATAAGCACAATCATACAAGGTGCACCATGCAAATTGGAAAAAAAATATTAGTGATTCTGCTATGAAGTAGACGGACCCAAAATATGCAAACATCTGCTCTTATGCAGTGTCTAAAATTGTTCCAAACGTTTTAGTTTTCAGAATTTAAAAAAACTTGGCAATTGCAAACAATAGCATTTATCAATATACTTTTTTAAAAAAAAAAAACAACCTGTCCGGCGTGTCATTTATTCAGCAGTATTCAAAATTGTAAATCTTATGGCCATCGGAAATGCTGGTGTTGGGGGAAAAGGGGGAGGGGGGGAATTTATCTATTGCTTTTTTAGAGGCAGCTGCTGCCCACTCGGAAACAGATGGCAGGAATGTTCTGAATAAAGCTGATCATTTAGCCTTTAAAAAAAAAAAGGTAAACGCATGCTTAAGCATTGCATGCTATGATATGCATGCCACTGATCTAATGGGTTGCTCATCCTATATTAACTTGAAGGGCTGTTGATGTGAGTGTCCATCTTTGAGAGCAGCTTTCAACAAATGTCTTTTAGATGTGTTGAATTCCAGTTCTTATCACCTCCAGCTTTGTAGCTGCTGAGATTTTTGCTGGTTTGTGTTTTTTGTTGTCCCACTCCCTCCGCTTTTTTGAAATGATTTGCTACGTGTCTTTTAAAAAGTTGTTTAAAACATTTGTGAATATTCTTAAAGGCCATGAGTTTCGATCAGCTTTAGGTAGCCTAAGCGAGACATTCGCTATAATACAGTTAAAATTAACCTGTTCTGCCATATAAACATCCTTAGCTTTCCTTTTTCCTATATTCAGTACAGTTGTAAAGTTTTTATATAATTCTAATACATGTCAGAATGATGTGGAAATCACAAGATTTCAAATAATGTGCTAGATGGAAGCCCAGTCTGGTGGCTATCTAGAATTATTAGCTGGATTTTAAATTTTTGCATTAATGATACTATATTTGCATTTAGACCAAACTCAATAGGTGAATAATGTAGTATGTTTAGTGGGTCACCTTAAGAATGACACTGCCTTGTTATATCATGTTAAGATGAATTTGATTTTCTTTGTGTGACATGCTAATGTAGCCAACTGTTATTTATTATAGACATTGTTAAGTAAGCATACGTGTTTCCAATTTAAATCAATAATTAATCAAATATTTGACACTGTTAAGAAAACAACTTTCTTAACTTATGAACTATGAGTACTGTAATGTTTGATGATTTAGCAAGATAGGAGACGACTGGACGAGTAGTGATCTTGAGTGGCCGAAACACAACTGTATACATCTTTTTAGGTTTTTTTCAGAATTCAGTGTTCAGAATTTGTTTTTCTTCAAGTGGCATATATAGGCCTGCCTATAAAACTGGCGTTCACTGTACTTTTACAAATATACCATTGTGGATTCCTTGTACTTCATTTAACTTGCAGATAATCCTTACCAAATAAAAATGAATAATTTCCATCTGGAGAATACAAAGTTCCCTGATGGTGGCTTCTTTAGAGACCACCAGGTTCTATAGCTCACCTGTTAAAACTCTTTTTAACCTTCAAAACAAGGCCTGGCACTGACTTTCACTACAAGACTGCCTCTTCATAGCAATAGTACTTAGACTTACATACTACACACACACCTACTGCTTTACAGCCCTCTTTAAGCAGTCTATAATCAGCATCTTGCCCCCAACAATCTGGGTCCTTGTTTTATTGACCTCAGAAAGAGGAAGGCTGAGTCAACCTGAAGCCCCACCAGGATCAAACTCCAGGCTGTGGGCAGTTTGCCTGCAATACTGCATTCTAGCCACTGTGCCACCAGGGTTTCTGGGTGGCCAATAGTTAGCAGGAGTCTTAAAACATATAAGGATGCCTTTTAATACAGCCATGTTTTGTCAAAGCCCAAACCTTCACGGCAACCCTTTTTGTGAATGAGCTATCAACTGTCCCCAGACAAGAACAGTTCAACCCACAACCGTTTCTCACCATTTCAAATACACCTACTGAACCAAGAATCTTGAGGGGTTCTTCACATACAGTATGTAGCGCATCTCTTCTTTCTCTCCTGGTCCTCAGTTTATGCTAAGAAAATGCTATTGGTTGACAATAGTTTGAACTGATCTGTGACAGTGGCAGAGCAAATTAAGAAGAGCCAGGCTCAGAGCAGGATAAAATGGGAAACTGTGTTTTGCCAAGATATTAAACACAATTCAGATCTCTTCTTTTTAAAGAAAATTCAGAACTGACTATCAAACCCCCAGTAACATTAAATGTTAAACATTAATCCAATAAGTATATTGCCTTGCCTGCACAAGGGAAATGAACAAAACCTCAAAGGTAGAAAATATAGCTATAACATAATGCAGCCCAAAATCATGGATCTTTTGAGGAGACATTTTATTAAGATAAATCCAGCAAAATTCCTAACAGTGGGTATATTCAGTCAAACCTGTCCTTCTCTTTTTTAAAAGTTTTTTTTTTTTGTATTTCATTTAAAAACATGATTACATATTTTAATATTATTCTCCAAAATGTGACAAAATAAAACTACATTTGGGATACAACAAGTTTCCAGCTTCTTAAGATTTTTCATGAAAATATCTCACCTTCTTTATAAAAGCAAGTCATAGAACCACCGGAATGTCTGACGCAATTGTGGTTTTTTTTTATGTGTGTGTGTGTGTATATTTTTGTTTTAGACCTCCCCACGTTAAGAAACCATACAACACGCAACAAGGGTAAAATTAAAATCTGAATTCCGTATGACTGACACACAAAGGGATTATATACTGATAGAAGTCAATAGCTACCACCACTGATTCTTTCCGGGTACCATACAAACTATGACAATCACAAAAATTTTAAAAACAATGATTTTTTTTTCTTTTGTTGGTTGGTTGGTTTTGAAGTCCAAGTAACCGAGATGAAGATGTTCCATGATTAAATTCATGCTAAAAAAACCTGCATTTATAAAATAGTTGATAAAAATATTCCTCTCTTAACAATACAGTATGGAGGTACGAATACCAAATGATGGAAATGAAGAGGGCTTAATCTGTTACTCGGACTTGGCTTCCTTGACATCAGATACTTCAGCAGCTGGTGCCTGTTAGTATTTGAGAGAAACAGAAATTGAATTAGGCTAGGAAGAAAATCCATTGCAAGGATGCTGGGCGTAACTGTAGCTCAGTCCCATGCACAATGAATTCTGCACAGTTTACTTCCATTCTTGCACACAGCAGGCAACTTCCAGCTTTTGCTTATGAGCTAACTCAAGCGCCAAACCGTATTTTTTCCTAACTTTGAACTCTTATGGCCCAATGCCTATCAGTCTGTAAGGAAGCCATCTGAAAGCATGAAGTGGTATGGCTTCCATGTATGCCTACCCTGCACAGAAGGCAGCTGCTAAATTTAAAGAGGGGCAAAAACATCCCTTTCTAATAGAAACCTGCATATGCACATCATATTGGTGGCATTTTGGGGTAAAAGAAGAAGCAAATGTCCAAATTAGAATGTTTGACATAGAAGAACGGAGAGAGGGAGGGAAGGAGAGAGAAAATAAATGAATTAAACTGGCTAGGTTTTTGGGCCCAGAGACTAAATTTCTCCCTGCTGTGGATGCGTTTCAATTAATTTTTTTGGGGGGGGGGGGGAGTGAGTGCCCGTCCCTTCCATGCTTGTACTGGGGAGAAGCTAAGTTAAAAACGAGATGTAAAAGTTAAATGACAGGTTTCTTTCATGACTCGGTGATTCACCTAACTGTGGCAATTTGCTTAACAACCATAACCAAAAGGTTGTAAAATTGAGCACGTATATAAGGGCTGGATAGAAAGCTGGAACTGTTGAGAGTGGAGTTTCCCGATTCCCTATGTATTTGGAAACAAGATTCTCGGGATGGCGGGATATACACTACCTCGTTAGTTTTGGTATCTCCATTCTCAGAGTGGTTTTCTTCTTTAGCATCTTCTTGCTTAGTTTCGTCTTTTCCTTTGGCTCCTTTCTTCCCTTTTGTCGCTACCTTTTTATCATCTTTCTTGTCATTTCCTCCTTTTTCTTTCTGTTAGAGGGAATCACAGTAAAGTCTCACTCACCAATCCTTTTTCAGTGGCCAGCCTCAAAACAACCAGTCTAAAACTGGCACTCCTATCTAAGATTAGTATCTTTATCTACTGAGAGTAGAGCAGTCCTTGTTTTGCGACTGCCTCTTTTAGCAACCATTCAGGTACCACTGATGAAAAAGTTAACTTTTTGACAAATCCTTGTATTTTTAACCTTTTCAACCTGCGCATATTATCTTTAATTTTAAAAAAATGGGTATTGGCAATCTCATTCTAAGGTACTACTGAAAAATCATCGTCTCAAATAATTAAAAAAGTATATATAACTGATTGAAGAAAACATTATCCGTAGTTTCAGAACAAGATCATTATATTCATATGCCTGGCAAGGAGAACAAAAGCTTGAGAGATCAGTGTTTATGTTAACGGAATTAAAAAGGTGTTAATAAAATGTATTCCGATTTTATAGAAGTTTTCTATGCCAGGATTCCCAGATAATTTCTATGAGACCCTGGCTTATGCAGACTGGGCATATATTTTTCAATTGGATAAAGGTTTCATTTATTTTTCTTAGCTGGCCCCAATACAAAACAAAATAGATAAAGTATGTAGGTAACCCTTGGCTTGACTTTAACCCATTTCTGTTGTGCATTGTGACCTGGGAAGAATGGTTATTTAGAAACATTGTCAATCTGACTTTCTAGGATACATTGTATACTGCAAGTAACAATCTACATATATAAACCATTTTAACTAGAATCTTAATGTAACTTTCTCTCATTTCCTCATCACCACCGCCAGATTCGTTAAAGCGACCTTCTCAAACTATTATTTGCAATCCAACATTTTCACTTAAGTTTTGGCCAAGTTCAAAGTCATACAAAATTCAGTCAATATAAGCACAGGGCTAAAATGAAGTGCCCTTCCGAATGCATTGGATTTAGAGCTCCCAATCCCAAGCTACATTTAGTTAACTTCCCATAGTTTATCCCTTTTAACAAACTCACAGGAAAATCATGAAAAAGCTGAGTAATAGAGTTGGAAGACCTCTTGGAAGTCTTCCAGTTAATCCCTGCTCAACCACGAGACTATTTCAAAAAACTGGTTGTCCAATTTCTTCCTAAAAACTCCCAGTGTTGGAGCATTTACAACTTCTAGAGGCAAGTTGTTCCACTGATTAATTATTCTCACTGTCAGGAAATTTCTCCTTAGTTCTAAGTTGCTTCTCTCCTTGATTAGTTTCCACCCATTGCTTCTTGTCCTGCCTTCAGGTGCTTTGGAGAATAGCTTGACTCCCTCTTCTTTGGGGCAGCCCCTTAGATATTGAAACATTGCTATCATTTCATCCCTTCTTTTCAATAGTCCTTCTTTTGTTCTCCTTTCGAGGTAACTCTTAAGTAAGTTTAAATTGAAAGTGATCCAGTCAAGTTCGCAGTGACCTTTAAAGATCTTGAATTAAGCTATCCTTCTCCCACCCCAATGAAGTTTCACAATTAAACCACTATGCATCATTCCATTACCCCATCTTACTCAATAAATCTTGTTTTCCATGGCTTAGGTGGGGTAGTCAACCTTTTTATACCTACCGCCCACTTTTGTATCTCTGTTAGTAGTAAAGTTTTCTCTAACCGCCCACCGGTTCCACAGTAATGGTGATTTATAAAGTAGGGGACAAAGCTCCTACCGCCCACCATGAAAGCTGGAATGCCCACTAGTGAGCAATAGGGACCAGGTTGACTACCACTGGCTTACATGAATGACAATCTACCATCTTCAGATACAATCTGATCACGGCAGACATTTTACTCGGCTCCCACAGATAAGCGATCTGGGAAATGGCCGTCTTGTTGGTTGTTTTAGGATGCCCAGCCTATACCAACTCAAATAGCCTTGGCACCATTTATTGGGTTGCTAGGGTTGGGTTCCCCCTCTGAAACCATCTCAGTCACGGTGGACAGCAAATGCTCCTCAGGGAAAGGAATTTTCATTGAAAATTCCAGGGTACGTGTGCCCTCTTTCACATCTGCACCTAAGAGAACACAGTTCGTCCTTTTAGCTACTGGTTAGTTCCTTGGCCTAAAACAGTTATCTCAAACAACTAAGTACAGTAAGGCTGGACTCTCACATTCATATAATTGAAAGCTGCTAATCCAACCTGTCCAAATATATTTCCCCCTTCGCAAAATTAGATGGTAGATCATCATCATCTTCTTCCTCATCACCACCTATACCAAGGGTGTCAAACTCGAGGTTCGCAGGCAGTGCGGGATTCAAATATTTGTACCACCGGTTTGGTGGGTGTGGCTTGGTGGACGCGCTTTGAATGCAGGCACACACTTTATGTCCGCGCCAACATGCACTTTGCGCAGGCACAGAGGCCTTCTAACTCACCTCCAGTAAGCCTGCACTCTCCCGGTCACTTCAGCAGCTGCCACGCGGCAAAGCAGCTGCGCTTCAAAGCCAGAGGATAAAGGGGAGAATGGGAGCCCGGGCAAGCGGGTGGGTCCAACAGCAAAGCGGCGAAGAGAACCAGTTCTGTCTCCGCTGCTACCGGCTCCACAGAACTGGGCCAAACCAGAATACCACCACTGCCCGCAGGCTAGATCTGGCCCACAGGGTGCTTAGATCTGGCCCGTGGGACCCCTTCTGGAAACAGCGAAGGACCAGCCCGCGGTGCCTCTGCCAATGAAAGCGGAGCTTGTGAGGGTCGTGAGTGGCCCTTGCAAGCTTCATTTTCGCTGGCCAAAGCACTTGTGCCACCACAGGAGCCCCCGACACGAGTGACGTCGAGCTGGCCACGCCCCCTCATCCTCCCAAGCCAAACCCAACCCCGATGTGGCCCTCAATGAAATCAAGTTTGACACCCCTGTCCTACATCATGTCATCAGTACATATGCAAAAAGAAGAAAGAAATCAAGACTTCTTTAAGGGAATAAGAATCCATTCTGACATCGGAGGGAACCCTCAAGTCAAGGCATTTGGACACACAAGCATGTCCTTTATTTACCTTCGGCGGCGCCTTTTTCGGCTTTGGCTCTGGTTTGGGTGGAGCAGGCTTCTGTAAGAAGAGCACACAGATACGTTGTAAAACAAACACAGCCTTCCTCTTTGTCCGATTTGCTGTAACAATCTCAGACCTCTTTTAAAATGTCTCAATTTTCTGGCCCTTGAGATTACAAAGATAGCCTTAAAAATAAAGCAGCAGCTATAATTTGATAAACCATCATTGGCTCTGGGAGCATTTATTCCTGCGCATAGGTTATTTTTATACACGGTTTCCATTTTGGATCTGGATATTGCTTTTAGGTGTTGTAAGCTACCTGAGACCATGTATTTGAGATGGGCATCTATAATCACTGAAATAATAATTTCCCCTCTATTATGACTGGTGAAGTAAAACACATACGTACAAAGAGAACAAGGATCTAGACCAGTGTTTCTTAACCATGGCAGCTTCGAATTCTATGGACTTCAATTCCCAGAATTCTCAGCTGTGGCCATGTTGGCTCAGAATTCTGGGAGATATGAAGTCCGTCGCTTCAGAAGCTGACTAATTTGGAAACACTGAAGCCTTTAGCTCAAGGTGTGGCTTATCGTGCTGAAGCAGTTGTGTCATCTATTACATATTACATTTAATCTTGGAAATCATGCACAGGAGGCTACTCGAATGATACTTTGAAACATCTATTGCTAACAGCTTTAATGTGATATGGATTTTTTTAAAAAAGAGGCGTACACTCACAGCAGACAGTCTAGCCGATCGTCTCTTTGGCTGCAGAAGAGAAAAACAAATTACTAAAACCAAACATCACTTTTCTTAAAAGTAGAATTCACAGAAATTCAAAACAACACACCTCAGGGAACCATGCTCTTCTCGTTTAACACAAAAATCCCACTGCATTCATTAAGGCTTACTTCCCCCCAAAATATGCATCGGATAGAGTTTTGCAAAAGTGAAAATGTTATATTGAAGGAATGGCAAGACTGTGGAGCTGGTTTCTAACTCTTACACCCTAATAAACCATAGCTGACTGGAACAAAAACAAGCATTATGTCTACATACAGTATTCTCTTCTCTTGGACTTTTATTAATACAATAAACTCTGTGGTCTGTTAAACTAGGATTGTCTTACAACCAAACTGGGATATTCTAGCTTATCTGCTGACTACTTATCAGAATGTAGAACTTAGTATGCTTAGCAATTTTCCAAAATGTTTGCTTTATTGTGCATAAAAAAAACCCCAAAAATGATACAGATGAACGAGAACATTTGTTATCTGCCCAATTAAACACATTTTGTTGGACAGAGATGTAAGAGTGAGTCACTTTGGTGTGGTAATGAAAGCACCAGGAGACCATGAGTTCTAGTCCCACTTTAGGCCAAAGCCAACAGGGCGATTGTTAGATTTTTAACTGTGAGAAGGCAAGGGCCAACCACTTCCACAACCGTTGCCAAGAAAACTGCAGGGAGTGTTCTGTGTAGTTGCCAGGAAACAAAAGTGATCTACAGAACTGAGCATTTCCTGGATTCAGTTTGTTATCTCCATTCTTCAATACTCATGTAGAGTTTATTTCAACTTTTGACCAACTGTTAGCTCTTTGTGGCACTGAAATCTGGTTCGAAAAAGGATTTGATCCCAATGTCTAATGTCATCCTTGGCCCGTTCTCACACTAATCGTAACTTCAACAAGCTACAAACTTTTGATATCGGGGCAATGACAATTTAAAGCAGAGGTCTCCAAACTTGTAAAACATAAATGAATAATACTATAGTCAAATGATTAACAATATTAATGTATTTAGGAATATTTGATTGACAATACAAGAACATATACAATGTAATTGTAAGCGAAGACTATGAAGTGGAAGCACAAAACAATCTGTAAACCAACCGACACACTGTATGTACATATATGGAAGATGGTTTGATGTTTTTATGTTGTGTTTGTCTATGTTTGTCTTAAAAAAACAGAAAAAACTTTAAAAAAAAAAAGACTTGTGGACTTCAACTCCCAGAGCTATGCTGTCTGGAGAATTCTGGGAGTTGAAGTCCACAAGTCTTAAAGTTGTCAAGTTTGGGGGCCCCTGATTTAAATGGAAAGGTAGAAGTCTCCCTTCCAGGCCCACAGCTGAAAAAGGAGGAACGGCGCCCACAGTGGCTTGAGCTTGGCTGCAGCGCATTCTCCAAGCAGAAAGATTGGTTTCTTCTTGTAACAATTAAACTGAGGCAGAATCCTAAGCCACACTGTGGTTTGCAATCTGTGGCTGAAAGATTGATGTACTGGATGCAGCCAGTTGTGGCTGGTAGCATGACAGTACTATGAAGAAACTATTGGGGGGGGGGGGGGGGGGACGACTCCAACGTTCTTAATAAGTGATTTTATCTTTTAAACAAGTCCAACTGCACAGATTTCTTCATTGCATGTAAAAAAAATAAGTTCTGCTGCCATAGATTACTCTGCATATAAATTGTGTGTGCACTGATCAGTTGCAGTTTCTTGGCAAATCAATCTTGCAACATCCTGGCCATGTAGATTTTAAAATCCTACCACCTGCACACGTTGCATGTCAATTCTTGTGGTGTATGTTTTCCCAACTCCTTTGAAGGTTCACTTCATCTTGGCAACTTAATATATATGTACGTATGAAAAAAAAAACTTACCTCCTCCTTTATTTCACCTTCAGCTGCAGCCTAGTTTAATAAAAAAAGAAACAAGCACAATATAAACGGCTTACTTTTGTTCCAATTTTATAAAAAGAAACGGACGCCAAGAATATCTGGCGGAGCACTCTCGTGAACTAAAATAAATGGCCCAGTAAACATGAGACAGTAGACATTTTTAATATAAAAGATGAGAAAAAGCTTTATTGGGATCAAAACAGGCAAATATATCCATCTTGCATCAATCAAAACCATCTAGTTTAGAATTCTGGAGGCAAAACCTAGTGAGCAATTAAGATTTACACATACAGTAGTGCAAGAAAACTTCAGCAGGAACCAATTCATTTCTCTCTAGAGTTTCTCAATTCCATATCAAGCCTTCTAACTCTTGTTTCAGCACCAAAAAATTAAAAATGCCAATCAAATATAGCGCAGGATGCATTTTTTTAAAAAAAAAAAAATTAGAAACGCATCAGATTCTTCTTCTGCCAACAGCTGCAATTTTTAACAGTCCGCAGGTTGTTTTTTTTTTAAAAAAATATCCTTTGAACTCTCTTCCAAACTCCCGGACTACACATCCCACAATGCACTTGGGACGGTCCGTTTTGCTTTGACGTCATCGCGTCCCAAGTTTAAAAAACGGGGGGCAAAAAAAAAAAAAAAAAATCCCGCCAAATTACCTGCAAAAGAACACAAGGTCGTTGGCAAACGACCTGCAAAGGGCGTGGAGCGTTTTAAAAGGCATCTCGCTGAGTCCCCCTCCTCCCCGGGGAGGCGGGCTCCTCTGCTGCCCTGCAATTTTGCACAAACGGAGATCACCCCATTTTTTTTTTAATGGCATGCGACCCCTCCCCCACGCTCCTTATGTAGCTGCACTTCCAAAATGGGAACCCCTCCCCCCACCCCCTCGTTGGGTAACTCTCAAAAGGAGCCGATTTGCAAATAAATAAAAAAGGAGCAAAAGAAAAAAAAGGGGGGGGTGGAAGAGAAAGAGAGAGACGCCTCGTTGCTTAAAGTTGCAACGAATTGGGGCTTTGGAAATCTCTTGCCACATCTCACCCCCCCCTTACCCCCACCCCCCAAAAGGCGGGCAATGGCAAAGCCCTGCGCCCCCTACCGGCTCCGAGACGCCACTGCACCACCATCTGGTATGACAAGTAGGAGGAAAGGAGGGGGGGAGGAGGAAAAAAAATAAAAAGAACAAAGGCAAACGCAGGAGAGCCAGAGGACCCCCCCCCCCCCCCCCCAACCGGGGGGGGGGGGCCTCGGCCCAAACCGTCTCCAAATGCCCCTCCGGCGGCCTAAAAAAGCAGCCCAGAAGCTCGGCAGGGTTTGCATTTTGGAAGAGGAGGAGGAGGGGGAGAAGGAGGAGCGCCAGCCGAGCCTGCCTGCCATGCCTGCGGTCAGCAAGCGGCACTATGGCTGTTTGCAATCCAGCATGGAGGAAGACGCACCGTGCAGGCTCCGTTCGGCAAACAAAACCCTCCACCCACCCACCCACCTCCCGAAAAAAAACAAAAAAACTCCACCGGGCTCAGCAGCTTTGGGTCGGTGGCGATCGCGGCTGCCAAGCACCTTCACCCCGCTCCCAAACGCTCGCTTGCACGAAAAGCCCCCGCGCACACACACAAACACACATACACGGCCCCAGCGGGCGCGCGCGCGCAAGCCAAGCCATCTTTCTCCCCGCGCAAAAAGGGGCTTCGCGCGTCTCTTCTTTCTCGGCCCGTTTGCGCCACACACACACAGCCCCCCCCCCAGTCCAAACCACCAGCACCACCACCACCACGTTCGCTTGCTTACCTTTCTTTTGGGCATAGTTGAGCCTTTTGGAACAGTTGGTTGCGGATCAGAAAGAGATGCGGATCTTTGCAAAGGGGGAGGAGGGCAAGGCTGGTCGCCCTCCCCTCGAAGCAAAATGCAAAAAAAAAAAAAAGATGAAAGGGAGGGGGGGAAAAGAAGAAACAACAAAAAAAAAAATCCAAAGCAACCGCGCGCAAAACAAACCCGCTTTTTTTAAAAGAAAAAGCCTGATTTTGGTTGGCTGGTTGGTTGGGTTTGTTTGGGTTTTTTTAAAAAAACAAAACAAAAACAAAAGTCTCTTCTTTCTTTGCAAAACTGTATCAAAAAAAAAAACACACACACACACACCACTACCAGCGAATTGCAGCCGCAGCAGCCCTCCCTAAAGAAAAAAAAAACCCACACCCCCAAAAAAATAAAACAACCCCACCCTGAACCTTTTTTTTTTTTTTTTTGTAAATTCAAAAATAAAATATTCCCCCTTCTTTATTGCAAACAGTAAAAATACACCAACACTCAACCAAACTGCATGAATGGGAAAAGCGCGAGGAAAGTCCGGGCCGAGAATGACGCGCGCCTGGGCCAATAGCAAACTCGGGCCAGACCTGGGCGAAGGCGCCGATTGTAGAATCCCGGGCGGGGGGGGG